CGCCATCTTGGCCCCGCTGCCTTCTCGCACCCTCGCTCCGCCCCTCACCCATAATTGACAAGCCCGCCAATGGCACGCATGCGTAGCTCCTGCGGGCTTGCCTTTGTATACCTGTGTAGCTTCTCACGTTTCTTGTAGTTGTGGTTATTGTCCGCTGGGCCCTCAGCAACGGAGGCCAAGAGGCCAGGGGCCTTCTGAGCAATCCGAACTCAGTCGTCAGTTTCCAGAGGGGACATCAATAGGATCTCGTGTGGCAGTTAGGCTCATTCCCTGTATAGCAAGAGAAAGATGAAGAAGATAAGAACTGGACTTAGAGCTGGAGCAAGGACCAGAGTGACTCTGATATTTAGGTGGTCTGTGGTTCCTTGTAGTGATGGAGAGTTGAGTGTGGTGATTATGCATGGCTCTTCACATCCCCGTTGTGTGTTAGGCTGCAAACTGATGTGTGTTCAGGGGGAAAGAATATGAAGCAGAGATGCAGGTCGGGGGAAGGGATATCTGCTTCCTCAGATGACATCCTGCAAGAGCTCAAATTGAGGGGAACACAGACTGGCCCTGAACACAAAAGCATCCATACTCGAATGAGGAAACATCATTAGCCATGGGGAAGACCTAGCTGCAGAAGAGATGACCTAACTGGAATTCTGATATAGATAGGGGATACTTGTTGAATCACAGAGCACAGCTAACTCAAGTCCAAAGTGAACATTGCTGTCCTTGAGAGACAGAAGGTTGGGATGTGGCAGATCTGGCTGAAGGGCTCCAGGCCAGCCTATCTTAGGTAGGCCAGGGACTTCTCCTCTTACCAGTGCCATGTTATACTCTGAACCTCACATAGGAGGCTCTTCTTGACAGGGCTTACACTGCCAGCCTCTGCTTGTGTGTTGCCCCCTCCAGAGAGGTGTAGCCTGATCTTAGGTCAGTCACTGTCACTGTCATTGTCCGTTTGAAAGCTTCTTGTTTCCTTATATAGAAAGTGGGGGTGTTATCACCCACCTCTCTGATTGAATAGAAGATTGAACTGTTTTTAGGGACCTGGCTGGCCTGGAGCCCAATACTTCACATTTTCTGTCTGGGCCTGAACTCCATGTTTTCATTCATTCAAGAAACTTTTCCTGGGGCTATTGAGATGGCATCTATGTAGTGCATTTAGGTGCTTGCTGTCAAGCCTGAAGACTCGAGTTCAGTCTTGGGTATCTAGGCAGTGGAGGGAGATAAATGACTCCTGCAAGTTATTCTCTGACCTCCACGTGCACACATAAAATAAATACAATAAGTCTGTTTTTTCTTGAGAATTCCCTGTGGGGTATGGAGAACAGGTGCCAAGAGACCTGGTCCTTGCGGTCCTTCATAGTTCCTGGCCCAGGCAGAGGATACAGGGACTCTAGCCAGCCTGAGATTACAGGGACCAGGGGAGGGGGTGGAGGATATTGCAGGCAGTGGTGGGCTGGACTGGGACTGCAGCAGGAGGTGGAGGGAGGCAGGGCTATTTAAGCCCTGGCTGGCTGGCAACCCCAGTAGCCTGTCCTGTGAGCTGCCTCCAGCATGGATGACATCTACAAAGCTGCGGTGAGAGATAAGTCTTAAAAAGGTTGGGGTGGGTAGGACCATTGGGGTTCACTCAGCTCAGAATGGGGGACAGGGGTGTCCCAGGGAAGTGATGGAAGATTCAAAAGAGGCCCCATACATCTGTAGCTAAGCCCCTCAAAGGAATGGTAGACTGACATTTGGAGGGTGCAGAGAAGGTGGGAGTCCCGGGGTCTGGAGAGGTGCTGTCAGGGTGGCTAGAGGGTGTGATCTCAGTTTTTAGCATCCTGTCTCTTCCTCTGTTTCTAAATGTCTAGTCTGTCACTGTCTTGGCTACACCTCTGTATTTGTATTTCTATTCTTTTTGGTCTTTCTCAAGGTCTTTCCATTCTCTGTTCCTTCCTCACCGTCTCTCCAAGTCCTTGTCTCTCTGTGTATCTCCAGTCCTCCCTCCATCCCCCATTTCTACCTCTTACAATCTGTTGCTTACATGCTCAGATCTGCCCTTCTCCTCTAGCCACTTAGCTGGCTGAAGATGCTTTAGAAGGTGGAAGGTGACTGGGAGGAGGCGTGCAGAACTTGAATTCTGGGATGGGGAAGGTGCTTAGAAGGTCCAGGCCTGGGGGGAGGTAGGAGAGAGGGAACAGAAAACTGAAACCTAGTCCTTGTACAGTCTGGTAGACTCAGGGCTTAGGTGGACGCTGAGGGTGGTAAGAGTCAGGGCTAGAGAACAGGCACTCCGAGATCTTGCAATCTCCCGGGGACCCCAAGGGCCTTTTGATGCGACCTCTACCTGCTCCAGAGACAAGAAAATCCTAGCAAACAGCTGCTCCCTGGGAATTTCCCCCACCCCCAGAATATGGCCCCTCTTGTGAGCAGGGAAGGGCTGCAGCTGGTTTCTATGGTATCCTTGCCTATCTTGTAGGAGTCTGTGGAGCTGGAGTGTGTGTTGGGGGGGTAGCCCTCCACCCAGTGCCCATACAAGGCCTGGCGGGGCTGGGGACTAATTTTGGCTCCTGAGGCAGCACCAGTAGGCCAGGGGGGCAGATAACACTGCCCCACCCCTTGCATACCAAAGTCCCCAGAACAATCACCAGGTTTAACTTTGTCCTCCTTTAAAAATAGCTCAGCGGCCACCCTGGTCAGGTTACAGTGGGTGGCTTTGCTCACCCCCACATTAGTTTTATTGTCTCAACCTGAGGGACAGCTGTCTCTTAGGCCAGGCAGCTTGGGTTTCATTAGGGTGACCTAAAAGGCATGGAATGGTCATTGAGTATTGTTACTCAGGACACCTTGCCTGTTACCTTGGCCCCTAGCCCAGCTTCTGGAAGATCAGCAGGGTCACCTTAGGGCTTTGGAGGCAGGAAAGAAGGACTGAGGACTTCCTCTGTAACCTGGGAGTGTGTGCCTTCTCCCATTGTTGGTCTTCCCACAATGGGTCACTCTCTACAGCAGTCTCCACTAAGGCCTGAGTCTGGGCCCTGAGTTCCTTTTCCTCTCTAGGTAGAACAGTTGACAGAAGAGCAGAAGAATGGTGAGTGTCTCCCATCGAGGGGGCAGTGGGGCTAGGTGGAGGGAAATGTGGGGATGCCTTTCCAGGAAAGAACCCCAGACTAGAGGCCATGGTCTGGGGGGGGGCTCTCCTTGCTATGACCTCAAAGGACTCTTGGAGGGAGGTGGGCAGTTTGCTGGTGGCCCTGGGGACCTGGATTTCTAGTGTTTTGGCTGCTGATCCTGTCTCCTCATCCTACCATTGGACACAGAGTTCAAGGCTGCCTTTGATATCTTTGTCCTGGGTGCGGAGGATGGCTGCATCAGCACCAAGGAGCTGGGCAAGGTGATGAGGATGCTGGGCCAGAACCCCACACCGGAGGAGCTGCAGGAAATGATTGATGAAGTGGACGAAGATGGTGAGCCCCTTCACCCACTCCAGTCTCCACACATGTAACACCCTGGGTTCACTGGCCTCCAGATTTTAGCCATATCATCCAGAAACTTGACAAATAGCTCATACCTGCAATCCCAAGAAGGCTGAGGCAGTACCTCTGCAATGAGTTGAAGCCAGTGTGATTGTGTCACATAGGGAACTCCAGGCCAGCTTGGACTACAGAGCAAGATTCTGCCTCATCCAAGAAGAGTGGGCAAATGAACACACTAGTCCTATATCGTTGGTGTGGGGAGGCCACAGCCTGAATGCTAACTATGTCTTCTCTCTGGCCCTGCTGTCTACCCACAGGCAGTGGCACAGTGGACTTTGATGAGTTCCTTGTCATGATGGTTAGGTGTATGAAGGATGACAGCAAAGGGAAGTCTGAGGAGGAATTGTCGGACCTCTTCCGAATGTTTGACAAGTGAGAACATGCTTGGCTTCTGACCCTGACCCAAGTAGAGGGTATAAAGGGGTAGTCTCAGCTGGGTGGTGGTGGCACACCCCTTTAATCCCTGCACTTGGAGGCAGAGGCAGGCGGATCTATGAGTTCAAGGTCAGCCCAGGCTACAGAGTGAGTTCCAGGACACAAAGAAACCCTGTCTTGTAAAAACAAAACAAGAAAGGAAGGAAGGAAGGAGGGAAGGAAGGAAGGAGGGAGGGAGGGAAGGAAGGAAGGAGGGAGGGAAGGAGGGAGGAAAGGAAGGAAGGAAGGAAGGAAGGAAGGAAGGAAGGAAGGAAGGAAGGAAGGAAGGAAGGAAGGAAGGAAGGAAGGAAGGAAGGAAGGAAGGAAGGAAGGAAAGAAGGAAGGAGTAGTCTCAGATCCTATGCTAGATACCTGCTGTTTATCTCCCATCCTATATGATGAGACACAGCAACGCCCATCTTCTAGTGTCCCGGTCCTGCCTCCTGGGATTGTATGTGTGGGGAACCTCTTTCTCTCCTCCTCCACCCTCTCATGAGCTCTGGGGTTCCCTTTGCCCTTCCTGTAGAAATGCTGATGGCTACATTGACTTGGATGAACTGAAGATGATGCTGCAGGCTACAGGCGAGACTATTACAGAAGATGACATTGAAGAGCTCATGAAGGACGGTGACAAAAACAATGATGGCCGAATTGACTATGATGGTGAGTGGGTGAGAGAACCAGATCTGCTACTGTTCATCCTCTGCCCAGCTTTAACCTCTGACCCAGACATGGTCCTCTTTCCACAGAGTTCCTGGAATTCATGAAGGGTGTGGAATAGACACTGACTTTACAGAGAGTTGCCCACGCCTGCCCTCCCTCTCCAGACAGACCTGTGGTATGGGTGCAACTAGGTTCTCTAGATTCTGAACCTGGTTGTGTCCTTTAACCTTGTCCCCCCTATTCCTCTCTCCCCATTCCTGTTCTGGGGAGTGCAAATAAATCCTTACTCCCCAAAGGCTGGTGTCTTGCTCTGATTTTCCTGGGGCCACAGTCTTTTCTCAGGGTTCCCTCCTTCCTGATGACTCCATCCCTGTTAGGCTGGCTGCAGAACCTGTGTTCTGACTGCTCAACCCACCTTCTTCCAGAGGGCTTTCATTAGGTCAGCGATACTTTGCTTTGTGCCTTCCTGGTGACTAGGTCCTGCAGTAGCCACAGAACCTGCATTTGAACAAGCTCCTGAAATTCATGAAAGGTGTGGAGCAGACACTGACCTTCACTAAAAGCTGACCATTCCCGTTTTCCCATTCTAGTCAGGCTCTGGCATGGGGGTGAGCTGCCTGGGTCAACCAGTACAGCAGCCAACAGATACCCTCTCACAGGGAGCAGTTAGCTCAGTGGGTACTGGGTGCTCATTGGCACAGCAACTTCTCATCGGGTTGGAAGAAAGCTAAATCTTGTGCGACCCAGCAGGCTTATGGTGCTGTCTTCCCACTGCCTGTGTTTCCCACCAGCAATATTAACTTCCAGCCTCTGACGAGCATGCAGTTCACTCCACACTCTATCATTCACTTTACAGATGAGGACCCAATGGCCTAGAAAGCCAAGGTCATTTGGCAAATCTACAAGAGGGCTTAGCCACCTTGCAGCCAGCCAAGGACTCTGACACACTAGGTCAAATGGACCTACTGTCTAGTTTCTTTGGCCCTCTGAGACTGACCTCCATTCACCCATCTGATCTTTTTCCCTGACAGGAAATGAAGGCCTGAGGTCTGGAGACATCCCCAGTTTAGCGGGGGTGCCCGGGTCAGAGCTGTAGCCAGAACAGTGACTGGGGAGGGAAAATTGGGAGTTTGCAAGGAAGTGGAGGTGTTGGTAGCAATGCTTTCAGGACAGACAGCTGATAATGACAGCCAGGCTCTAGTCAGAATGTCAGCAGCTGTCCTCCATCTGCCCTGTAGCTGTCCAGCCTCTGCACCTGTGCCCCAGCCTAAGCATTCTCCAGACAGGCTGCACATTCCAGAGAGAGTCTTGGAATTCTAGACATGCCTCTGGCCAGGCAAGAGCTGCCAGGAGTTCCCAGTCCCTGCAGAGCCATGGGAAGAGTGGAGATGGGTCCCCACAGTCCTGCCCTTGGGATTGGGAACTGGAGAATTTGGGGTCCTACAAAGACATCCAGAGTGACCCAGCAGGGATGATGCCCCAAAGTAGGAGGAGCCACAGTGGGTGGTACAGCCTGCATCCTCCAGTGGCCTTCCACACACCCTCTCCACAGTATAGGGCTAGATGCTGTGGTACATCAGAGCGAGGGCTTGTTCCTAATCTCTGAATTTCTAGCTGGCTCTGGGAAATGAAAAGGCAAAGGAACTCAGTGAGGAAAGCAGAATGGTGTGATGGCCTGACATAAAGCCATCTTGGAATGTTTCCTAGAAAAGGAGGTGTTGAGCAGAACCCCTAAGAACACCAATGGACTAGCTGTGGGATGCAGGGGAAAGACTTGAAATGAATCTCAAACAGGAAGGTAGCACTGGGACAGAAGCTGAGCCCCAGCTGCCTCTGGGAGAGGTGGGCAGTGCCAGGACCCCAGTTATGTAGTGCTCAGAGGTGATCTCACTAGTCTGCCTTGGGTTTAAATGAGTTTATTAAGTATATAGCAAGCAAAAGTACAAGTAGGTAGTCACAGATAGAGAGAAGCAGCAGCTATCAGAACATTATCAAATCATCCAGCAGAGGTGCTCTCTCAGCCACACTGAGAGCAGACAGAAGGCAACAAACACCATCAAATTGGAGATTTCTAATCATTCAGCTGAAATCAACTCCATTTAGGCAGCTGTCTGGAGCTCCCAATCCAGAGTCTTGGGTGGAGGAGACCTTCTCCTGATGATCAGATAGGTAACATCAAATCAGGTATCACAGCATCAGTAGAAGCCAAAAGGACAAGCTGAAGCAGCCAGCAGTCCCAGGTGAGCTTTCTGCCCTGTGGCTTCATACTTACTGCAGGCATTTTTGTTTTTATTTTTTATTTTTACTAATTAAATTTGTTTATTTATTTTACATCCCTGCCACTGTTTCCCCTCCCTTCTTTCCCCCGTTCTCTCCCCCTGCCTTCCCTTTGCCCTACCCCCCAATCCACTCTTTTTCTGTTCAGAAAGAGGCAGGCCTCTTGTGGGTGTCAACAAAGCTTGGCATATTAAGTTGAGGTAGGACCAAGCTCCTCTCTTTGTATTAAGGCTGGGAGAGGCAACCCAGTATGAGGAATAGATACCCAAAGCCATCCCAAGTATTAGGGACAGGCCCAGATCCCACTGTTAGGAGTCCTACAAATAGACCAACTACACAACCATCACAACTATGTAGAGGGCATAGGTGGTTCTCATGCAGGCTCCTTAGCTATTGGTCCAGAGCTCCTATGAACTCAGGTTAGTTGTTTCTGTGGGTTCTCTTTCGATGACCTTGAGCCCACCCCACCCTCACTGCAGGCATTTTTACAACATAGGATTGAATAATATCAGTTGGCAACAGTTGACCTTCTGGCTGTCCTCGAGGACACAGTATTTTTATTCTTAGACTGTTTCCTTTCTCTCTCTCTCCTGTTGCAGAGCTAGGGGGCTAGTTTACCACAGGAAACATTTTGGAGCATATTTGAAATAAGCATGCTGGAGTCTGGGACAGAAGAGCTTCCCCTGGTTCCCAGGTTCCACTTTCTGCAAGCTTAAACAGCACACAACAATTTACCAATCTAATATACATTACACGCTCTTGAACAACTCAGCTTTCCTAAGGAGTGAGGCACTCTTGGGGCTGCAGAGGGAGAGCCAGGAGGCATGCCAGCAGCTGGATGAGGAGGCAGAGTGGCTCTTGGTACTGTGGAATGCTGGAGTAAAGGAGCATAGAAGGTGCAGGGCTTGGGGAAGAATTTGAACTAGTGTAGAAATTGCTGAAGGCTTGAACTTGAGAGGATTAGGGACTCCTGGATAATCATTAGAGTTTTGGTCACACAGACATTTCTTGAGATATGGAAGCTTGGGAAGGCACAGATTTAGATCAGAGGTTTTGGGGATGGAAGTTTCTTTGTATCCAGTTTTGGTATTTATCTTTTTATGAAATTCTATACTTTAAAACATGTTGCAGAAATAGCACAAAATACTCCCATTTTCAGGCCCGGAAGATGGCTCAATGGGTAAAGGCACTTGCTACCGAGCTGGGTGACCTGAGATTGACTCCTGGGACCCACCCAATGGACACAGTGTTGTCTCACTTGGACTGTTTTACCGTTCAGTTCTCTCCTTGTCACATAGAGAACTAGCCTGCCCCAGGAGGGATGCTGGCAGTAGTTTTGAAAGTTGTTCTCCGACCTCCACACATGCACAGTGGCACACTTGCTCCCCACTCCACCTCTGTGCACTTGCACACATACATAAATGCAAATATATTCAAGCTACTCTCAACTGCACTTTAGACCGCTTCCCCAAACTTTAACAAGGCCTTACGATGTAGCTCAAGTGTTCCATCTTCCCACCTCAGTCCCTCAAATGCTGGGACCACAGATGTGAAAACTACACGATCTTGAACTTGAACTTTCATTTTGTTTTTATTTTTTGAGACGGGTTTCTCTGTGTAGCTCTGGCTGTCCTGGAACTCACTTTTTATACTAGGCTGGTCTTGAATTCTGCCTGCCTCTGCCTCCTGAATGCCAGGATTAAGGGCCTGTGCCACCACACATGGATTAGAACTTTAACATTTCAGATAACCACTAGATGGTGATCAAACCGAGGAAATCAACATGAGTACAACACCGTTACTTCACCTGTAGACCTGACTGAAATTTTGTCAGCTGCTCAAAGTCCTTTTGCTGGATGAACCGCTGTGTGATGAAAACGACACCAGCATATCTTAGCTTTCCCTGCTCCTTGTCAGTTTGTGACTGTTTTTCAGTCTTTCTTCATCCTTCAAGACCTTGACGATTTGGAAAGGGTACAGATTCATTTTGGTGTGTGTGTGTGTGTGTGTGTGTGTGTGTGTGTGTGTGCGCGCGCGCGCTCTCATGTGCATGTGCACGTGCACATGTGTGTGTGCCCATGCTTTTGGGTACACACAGAAGCCAGAGGAAGACACTGGGTATCTTGCTCTATCATCCTGCCTTATCCCTTTGAGACAGGTTCTCTCACAGAAAGTGAGCTAGGCTGGCAGCCCCAGCAATCCTATCTTTACCCCCACCCCCCAGCACGGGGATTGCAGGCCCATGTGTGACCATGCCTCACTTTTTATGTGGGTCCTGGAGGTCGAGCTCAGGTCCTCATGCTTGCACAGAAGTGCTCCTATCCATTATACTGTCTCCCAAGGCCCAAGTCCTCTTTAAAATATCTCCCTCCCTCCATTCCTCTCTCCCCCCTCTGTGTATGTGTGTGTGTGTATGTGTGTGTGTGAGTGTTGTGTGTGTGTGTGTGTATGTATGTGTGTGTGAGTGTGTGTGTGTGTAGGCCCCCTCTCTCTTTGTGTGTGTGCGTGTGTGAGTGTGTGTGTAAGTGTGTGTGTATGTATGTGTGTGTGAGTGTGTGTGTGTGTAGGCCCCCTCTCTCTTTGTGTGTGTGCGTGTGTGAGTGTGTGTGTGTAAGTGTGTGTGTTTGTGTGTAGGCCCCCTCTCTCTTTGTGTGTGCATGTGTGAGTGTGTGTGTAGGCCCCCCTCTGTGTGTGTGTGTGTGCATGTGTGTGTGAGTGTGTGTGTAGGCCCCCCTCTGTGTGTGTGTGTGCATGTGTGTGTGAGTGTGTGTGTAGGCCCCCTCTCTGTGTGTGCGTGAGTGTGTACGTGTGTGTGTGTGTGTGTGTGTGTGTGTGTGTGTGTGTGTGTGTAGCCCAGAGGTCAGCTCCAGAGTGTTATTTCTCAGGTGCTGTCCAGTATCTTTTCTGCAACAGTCTTTCACTTACCTTGAGAACTCACTGGTGAGGCCAGGCTGACCAGGCAGTGCACCCCAGGTATCGTGCTGTTTCTGCCTTCCCAGCTCTGGGATTACAAGCACACACCACCTCTTTTATTAAGTGGTTTCTGGGATTCAAGCTCAGGTCCTTGAACTTTCAGAGAAAGCACTTTACCAAGCGAGTCACATCTCCAGCTCCCAGGCTGGCTCTTTGGTAGGCGCTCTCAAAGTTTGGATGGGGTTCCTCAGGATAAAGTTCAGGTGGGGCATCTTGACCAAGGGGCCCGAGATTTAAACTAGGCAAGAAGAACGAGTCTTAAAGCCACGAGGGCGGGTAGGTGGCCTCAGTGGGTGGAAAGATCATGGTAGGGGTGTTGGTGTGGGTGTGGCCACTGAGTGTAGTGGTAGAGCCCTGAAGAAGACATGTTCCAAAGACACACACAGAAAGGCATGTCTTTCTTGGTGACCACTTAAAGAATTCCTGAGGAATATGTAGGGTGGGGGAGGGTGATGGATGGGCAGTGGCTGGGGAGGGGAACAGAGTCTCTCCTACTATGAGGGAAAGAGGAGGATGGCTACACAGCTGCCTCTTTGCCTGGGGTTTAGAAGAGAATTGTCTAGGAGGGGCATTAAGAAGATAGAGAATGTTGGGCGTTGGTGGCGCATGCCTTTAATCCCAGCACTCTGGAGGCAGAGGCAGGTGGATCTCTGTGAGTTCGAGGTCAGCCTGGTCTACAAGAGCTAGTTCCAGGACAGCCTCTAAAGCCACAGAGAAACCCTGTCTCAAAAAAAAAAAACAAAAAAAAAAAAAAGAAAGAAAAGAAGATAGAGAATGTCTCTGCCCACCCCAGCCGTCTTCATCAGCTGCCAGAGGTGGGAACCTTCTGAGAGAGATAAAGATCCTGACCCATTCACTAAAGGGAGTTCTAGGAAACACCATGGGAGTTGAGAGCAAAAAAAGGGGAGCTTTTCCTCCCAGATATTACTGCCCCAGAACTGTACTGGGCTATACAGCCCTGCATGTATTCACCTGGTGGCACCTGCTGCATGAACACATACATGCCACATGAATCAACCCAGGGATCCCAAGCACCTACCAGCTAATGCTATGTCACTTGTATGCATCACCTATTTCTGTCTTCGCCACTGTGGAGTTATGTCATCCTTTGCCTGGATAGGGCTTTCTCCATGAAGTCCCCCTTGATCTTTTCCATTAGGAGAAATTACCGGAGCGTCTTTCCTGCTTTTGCTTCTTTGTATTGCAGTTTCTAGGTACCTGCCTGATTGCTTAGGAGGTTTTAGCTAGCACAAAACCAGATTGGTGCTTTTGTCCTGTCATGAAGTTCCACCTTTGTCCATTAGGTGGCACTGGGTGTCTGTGCAAGACTGACTGGCGCCTTGGGGTGCCCTGCTGTCTAGACTGGGAAATTGAGGAAAAGAAGGAGAAATGGAGGCATGGAGAGAGAGGGGAGGGAGGGGGAGGGGGAGGGGGAGGGGAAGGGGGAGAAGAGAGAGAGAGAGAGAGAGAGAGAGAGAGAGAGAGAGAGAGAGAGAGAGAGAGGGGAG